TGTAGCTCTCAATAAGGTTTTCGTCCCTCTTCCAACTCCACCAGGTCACGTTCTGTCATCCACTTGCTTAAGCCCGTTAGGTATGTTATGCGTTGTTTTCCTTTTCTCTCTTTTCTCTTCTATTCGAACTTTTTATGTATATGTCCATTCAGGATTTAGGCGATCATGGCTCTCCACTTCCTCACTATCCCTTGTAGCTCTCAATAAGTTTCGTCCCTTTCCAACTTCACCAGGTCAAATTCTGTCATCCATTTGCTTAACCCCGTTAGGTATGTTATGCGTTGTTTTCCCAATTTCTTTTCCTTCTTTCGAACTTTATGTAAAATATCCATTCAGGACGTAGGCGATCATGGCTCTCCATTCCTCAAAATCCCTTGTAGCTCTCAATAAGTTTTGTCCCTTTCCAACTCCACCAGGTCACGTTCTGTCACCCACTTGCTTAAGCCCGTTAGGGATATGTTATGCGTTGTTTTCCCTTTTCTCTTTTTCCTTCTATTCGAACTTTATGTACTTATCCATTCAGGACGTAGGCGATCATGGCTCTCCACTTCCTCAATCCCTTGTAGCTCTCAATAAAATTTGTCCCTCTTCCAACTCCTTCCAGGTCACGTTCTGTCATCCACAAAAAATAAGCCCGTTAGGTATGTTATGCGTTGTTTTCCCTTGTCTCTTTTTCCTTCTATTCGAACTTTATGTGTCGTGTCCATTCAGGACGTACTGATTTGATCATGGCTCTCCAAAGAACCTCACTATCCCTTGTAGCTCTCAATAACTTTGTCCCTCTTCCAATCCACCAGGTCACGTTCTGTCATCCACTTGCTTAAGCCCTTTTTTTATGTTATGCGTTGTTTTCCTTGTCTCTTTTCCTTTTCGACATTTATGTACCAAATCCCTTCAGGACGTGTTTCCCGATCATGGCTCTCCAAAAAAAAGAAATCCTTGTAGCTCTCAAAAGTTTTCGTCCCTTTTCCAACTCCACCAGATCACGTTCTGTCATCCACTTGTTTAAGAGATGTTAGGTATGTTATGCGTTGTTTTCCTTCTTTCTTTTCCTTCTATTCGACATTTATGTGCCGTATCCCTTCAGGACGTAGGCGATCATGGCTCTCCACTTCCTCACTATCCCTTGAGCTCTCAATAACTTTTGTCCCTCTTCCAACTCCACCAGGTCACGTTCTGTCACCCACCTGCTTTATGCCCGTTAGGATATGTTTTGCGTTGTTTTCCCTAGTCTCTTTCCTTCTATTCGAACTTTATGTGTCGTATCCATTCAGGACGTAGGCGATCATGGCTCTCCACTTCCTCACTATCCCTTGTAGCTCTCAATAACTTTCGTCCCTCTTCCAACTCCACCAGGTCACGTTCTGTCATCCACTTGCTTAAGCCCGTTAGGTATGTTATGCGTTGTTTTCCCTAGTCTCTCTTTCCTTCTATTCGAACTTTATGTGTCGTATCCATTCAGGACGTAGGCGATCATGGCTCTCCACTTCCTCACTATCCCTTGTAGCTCTCAATAACTTTCGTCCCTCTTCCAACTCCACCAGGTCACGTTCTGTCATCCACTTGCTTAAGCCCGTTAGGTATGTTATGCGTTGTTTTCCCTAGTCTCTCTTTCCTTCTATTCGAACTTTATGTGTCGTATCCATTCAGGACGTAGGCGATCATGGCTCTCCACTTCCTCACTATCCCTTGTAGCTCTCAATAACTTTCGTCCCTCTTCCAACTCCACCAGGTCACGTTCTGTCATCCACTTGCTTAAGCCCTTTAGGTATGTTATGCGTTGTTTTCCCTTGTCTCTCTTTCCCTCTATTCGACATTTATGTGCCGTATCCCTTCAGGACGTAGGCGATCATGGCTCTCCACTTCCTCCCTATCCCTTGTAGCTCTCAATAACTTTCGTCCCTCTTCCAACTCCACCAGATCACGTTCTGTCATCCACTTGTTTAAGCCCGTTAGGTATGTTATGCGTTGTTTTCCCTTCTCTCTTTCCCTCTATTCGACATGTATGTGCCGTATCCCTTCAGGACGTAGGCGATCATGGCTCTCCACTTCCTCACTATCCCTTGTAGCTTTCAATAATTTTCGTCCCTCTTCCAACTCCACCAGATCACGTTCTGTCATCCACTTGCTTAAGCCCGTTAGGTATGATATGCGTTGTTTTCCCTTGTCTCTCTTTCCTTCTATTCGACCATTATGTGCCGTATCCCTTCAGGCCGTAGACGATCATGGCTCTCCACTTCCTCCCTATCCCTTGTAGCTCTCAATAAGTTTCGTCCCTTTGCTCCTTCCCCCAGGCCATGTTCTGCTATCCACTTGCTTAAGTCAGCTAGGTATGTCAAATTCTCCAAGCCCACTTTTCTCATTACGTGTCCCAGAAATTTCAGCTGCCTCTTCCTTATGTTAATTATAAGCGTTCTCCTTGTTTACAACCTCTCCTAAACCTCATCGTTGCTCACATGTTCGGTCCATGGTATCCTTAGCATCCTTCTGTTGATCTATACCTCCTCTGTCGCCTCGAGTCTGTTCTTCATCTTTGAGGAGACCGTCCAACATTCAATGCCGTAAAGGCGGCTAGATATCACGTAGCAGTTCAGTACTCTTTCCTTTGTTACCAAATCCTCCTGTCGCGTAATACTCGGCCTAGCTTATGGAATGCGTCTTTTCTATCCCTAAACTGCTCTCTATTAATCATCACAGAGATCCTTCCCTGTCCTCCATTAGTGTGTCTGACGCTCAACTTCTCGAGAGCACCTCTATGCGGCTGCTCGGTCTCACGTTGAATGCTGACCTGAGATGGAACAAATACACTGAGGCAATTGCTTCGTCCACCACAAGGAAAGTTGGCTCCCTGTGCCGAGCCAGGAAATTTTTCTCCCCGGAATCGATCCTCCAGATCTACAAATCAACAATTCGCCCTTGCATGGAGTATTGCTGCCATATATGGTCAGGAGCCCCTTTCTGTTTGCCTCAGAGTTCTTGATAAGCTCCAGAGGCGGATATGCAATATAATTGGCCCTGTTCTGGCATCTCGTCTATAGTCACTTCCTCACAGACGCGCCGTCGCCTCTCTCTATTCACAAATACTTTCATGGTAATTGCTCCGAGGAGATCCATTCGCTGGTTCCCAGACGTCATGAGTTCAAGCGCCCTACGAGGCTGGCATCCCGCTCTCACCCTTTCACTATCGAAACTCCTAAATGTAGCCGTCTCTTCTACTCCAATAGCTTCATGTCTCGCAACTCTCGCTTGTGGAACACCCTTCCCTATTACTGTTTCCCTGAGAGCTATAATCTCCAAATATTCAAATGTAACGTCAATCGACATCTCCAGTTGCCTTGATCTATCCACTACCCTTCTCCTCATCCTTTCCTCTATCACTCCTATCTGATCTGGCTCCAAATCTTCTGTAACCCCTTGCGTCCTATATGTCAAAATCGCTACACAATTGCAGTAGCGTAGCGATTTTTACATGTTTTCCATGTAATATCCTAAAATAAAATATTGGTCTTCTTTGTATTGAGCCCTCTTTTAAATTAAACGCTACGAACGTTGGAATTGTACTTTATTCGTTCTCATCTTACCTGGACATATATATATATATATATATATATATATATATATATATATATATATATATATATATATATATAAACACCTTTAAAATAAATGCATGCACACCCAGGCATATAAGGGTGCGATGGATAAATGGTCGTCTAAATGATGCAAACGAATGAAAATAGCATTGACACCTCATCTTAACAGATATCGTTGTTTAGGGTCAAGATAGAAAGACATGGAAGACGAAGGTATGTTGAAAAAGTGTATTGAAGATATTTCCATAAAGTTCGCGTGCACTTTAAAAAATTTATAACTTTATTTGTATTTGCGATAGAAATAATCTGTAAAAAATGTTATAAAGTTTAATGTACCTAGTTTTAAGTATAGCTTAAATAACTGATATGATTTCAGGCATTACTGTAAATCAGTTGGCAAATGTTTTCCGTAAACTGCAAAATCGTATTACCCTTTGTATTGCTAATGATAGAGGACATGTAGAAACTTAAATAAAATTTCAATAAAAACTTAGTCAAAATCAAAGTCAAAGTCTTAGAAAAATAGTTAGATATTCACACGTATATAAAATAAAGGAGTTTGATCAATAATATCAAAGAATAAAAAGTTGAAGTATTTACCAGATAGCCTTTTCTTTTCGAGGACTGTCGGAACTTAGATTCTTTCGGTCGAAACTTTGTTAATGAATCAAAAGGGACCGGGGTCGACCTCAGTAGTCGTGGTTGTGGGGTCAGGAGGCAAACTGGCTAGTTGGTACGAACTCCTGTTTATATATGTTTTTTTTACCCTCTAGAAACCAGTAGAAGTTTCTAGAGACTTCTAGCAAGTTCCATTCTATTATTATGAAATCTAAAGGGTTTGGTCAATGGAAGCTTTTCATAAAGTAAAAACGGCTTCTAGTAGCTACAGATTTAAGTCATCATTTTAAGCTAGGTTTTATATATTATAGTGTAAGTATAAAGAAGTAAGACAAAATGGGGCCTCGTAACAATATGCAAGATACATCCTTGCGACAAATCTAGCAATGGATTCATATATTGATATATATATATATATATATATATATATATATATATCATTCTGTTTCTAGCTATCTCACTGGTTCTATCAATCTATTTCGCTGTTTTTATCTGTCTTACTATATGGTTTTCTTTCGATTTATCTCAGTATGTTTATATTTAACTATTTCTACATATATACGTATATATGTATGCATGTGTGAATGTATCTCTAATATATTCGTATCTATCTATTTATCTATGTATCTCTGTTAAGATCTATCTATATACATGAATGTATGTATCTCTCTCTGATAGATTCGTATCAATCTGTCAGACAATCTATCTATATATCTCATTTTGTTCATATTTATTTATCTATCTCACTTAGTTCGTGTATATCTGCCTAAGTGTGTACATTGTCTATCTATGTATCTAAATCATTTTATTCACATCTACCTCTCTGTCTGTATATACACATCTATCTATCTATCTATCTATCTATCTATCTATCTATCTATCTATCTATCTATCTATCTATTCCTGTTTCTTCGTATCTATCTATCTATCTATCTATCTATGACAATTTGTTCGTATCTATCTACCTTATTGTGTTGATTGTCTATATATCTAAATCATTTTATTCACATCTATCTATCTATCTCAGTCTGTTCATATATATATATATATATATATATATATATATATATATATATATATATATATATATATATCAGGCTGTTATATCTCTTAAGCTCTCTTTATCTATCTATCTATCTATCTATCTATCTATCTATCTATCTATCTATCTATCCCAACCTACATATTCTCTACCTATTTAAGTATCACTTTCTATGCCTCAATATCATGTAATTTCTGTAACAATAATTCTCGAATAAGAACACATACAAATTCATTATTACATAAGTCATTCAATTAATATTGTTCCCCTTTAAAGAGATCTATATTATTTTGCTCATCCCCTATTTTATCCTTTGTAAATATATTTCTTCTGCTTATTGCACTTGATGTGAGTCGATTGAAAACCCTTTCCTCAGTAATTACAGTAGATAAGGGCTGGGAGAGATAATAAAGAGACAAAAAATCTCTCTTATAAAGTAAGACACGATTATCTCCCCTTCACACGCCGTCTGCGTCTGACTGCGCATGCGGGAAAATAATGTGTAAACCTCTATCTGCGATGTGCGTGAGTGCGTCATTTAATACAAACGAAAGCACAAACGCACACACAATTGGAGCAATTTTGAATTAACACTGTTTATATTCGAACTATTGTCCTCTTCCTTGTTGTTATCACAACCTTTCAGGTGTTGTGCCTTCAAGGCTTCATAAGGTGTATATCGTCTGAGTAAAAGTTTTTATTTATTTTTTCTTATTTATTTTAATCTTTTCACCACCATTCGCAGAGGGTTACAGAGAGTGAAAGAGAATGAGAAGACTTTAGTGAAAAGTAAGCAAAAAAAAAGAACAGGGTTTAGTAAGTCAGACGATGGTGAGTAGAAGACTGTAGGTCAGTGATACTAAACGTGATCCAGGTGGACTAACGGTGGTCCACATAGCATTTCTAGTGGTCCGCAGAGAATTCGTAGCCATAATAATTTCAAAATTTCAAAACCACTGCTCCTACAGTATCTGTCTATATTTCTGAGATGAGGTATTATGTACATTATTTACATTATTCGAACTATTGTTCTCATCTTTGTCACCATAAGGACGTTAGTTGGATCCAGTGACAGGATCCAAAGAGTGGGAATTCAATACCCGGTTAAGGCAGTGGAGAACTTTCAGAGGGGAATTAACAGGAGATAACTGATACCTGACATCCATTAAAACATGGCACGTGGAACTAGAACAGTCTACCCCAATGAGCGAAATAAAGGCGACAAAGATGAGGACAATAGTCCGAATAATGTAAATAATGTACCACTGCTCCTACAACAGAATTCATTGCTTCATGCATTTCCCATCTTAAAGGTCTTCATGTAGACTTTGAGAAAAGATACAATCAAAGATGGATTACCCACTCTGTTTTGTAGACCAAAAAGAATTATGAGCCAAGAGATGAAAATGTTGAGTTGGCTGAAATGTTGCTGTTATGGATGTTTTCACTAGAAAAAGAAATAAATTGGATCTCAACTGAAGAGGAAATATCAGAATAAGACTGAATGACATCATCAAAAATTGATTATGATATCCTGTGTTTATCGTTGTTTACTGAAATAAATTTTAAAATGTGAAAAGCATACTTTGTCTTTTCATTGAGTATTTTAGTGTAAAAAGTGTCTAAAAGTAAAAGTATTTTGAATTATTTGAAGACGAAAAATGGCCCATGGTTTGAAAAAGTTTGAGAAGCACTGAATCAGACGACACGTAATTTATAAGAATATTTAATTAATCCCCACCACAATATGATTGCAAACGTTTAAAGGTGTTCTGTACCAATGATTCCATATCTTGAACATCTTGCTACAATTTGATAACCAAACACACACTTTTACAATCAGCCTACTCAATTGATGCCAGTGCGGTTGCATAAAAAAAAACAGGGTTCAGTAAGACAGACGATGGTGATTTAAAGACTGTAGGTCAGAGATTCTCAACGTGATCCAGGTGAACCAGCAGTGATCCATATAGCATTTTTAGTGTTCGATATGCATCTTACTCAATTGATGCCAGTAAGGTTGCATAAAAAGTAACGGAGTTCAGTAAGACATACGATGGCGATTCAAAAACTGTAGGTCGGTGATTCTTAACGTGATCTAGGATGGCCACCAGTGGTCCACGTAGGAGTTTTAGTGGTCTACATGCAGTTTTAGTGGTCTAGATGCTGGCGAGATATAAAAGGAACAGGGTTCAGCATGATAGATGATGTCGATTTGAAGACTGTAGGTTAGTGATTCTCAACGGGGTCAATGTGGACCACCAGTGGGCCACGTAGCAGTTTCAGTGGTCCACATTCAGCTTAATCAGTTGGTGCCAGTGAGATTGCATAAAAAGGAACAGGGTTCAGCAAGATAGACGATGTCGACTTGAAGACTGTATGTTAGTGATTCTCAACGGGGTTAATGTGGACCACCAGTGGGCCACGTAGCAGTTTCAGTGGTCCACATTCAGCTTAATCAGTTGGTGCCAGTGAGATTGCATAAAAAGGAACAGGGTTCTGTAAGATAGACGATGTCGATTTGAACACAGTGTACGTGACAGGGAAGCATGAAATCGGAAGAGAGATTTACAATCGAGAATTCAGAGGAAAGAAACTGTTAGAATAGAAGTGGCTCGTTCAACAGTACAAAAGTGAGACCTAGTTGCTAATATAATAGCACGCTTAAATTCACATAGTCGAGGGGCTGGGGAAAAGAGCTCATCAGATCAGTTGCTATGGAAACATTTGTAGAAAAGACAGAGGGAAGACACCTCACATCGGTGAGAAAGCGACTAATGTCGAGATACCAGATCAGGATTGATTACAGATCACTTGCATTATTTGGACTGTTACCCCCATCCTCACTGACATATTCACAACGTTTCGGCCGTTGTACGCTCCGTTATTCTTCAGCTGATTGGAATTTCGATCTGAACCCTTTATTTCGTCCACCGGGGTAGATTGTTCTACCTCCACGTGCCATGCCTCTTCAATATGTCTCAGTTATTTCCCTTTAATGCAACTCTACAAGTTTTGGTCCATCACTGCTGTGGCCTGGTATTGAACTCACAACTATTTGGGTCTAGTCACTAGATCTAACCAACATCTTTATCCACTTGGCCCTGTGTCCTTGAGATATAGACAGATACATACACACCCTTCTTAAAGGGAATTCTGAACTGAACCCTTTATTTAATCTAGAGGTGTAGACTGTTCTCGTTCCACTGCCCATGTCTCGGGATATCTCGTCTGGTCCTAATTTTTACTACTATTCAGAAATTTCTCTCCTGTTTCTGATTTTTTTAAAATGAGAACGTATTAATAAACTGTAGAAACATATTGCATACCTTCTATCCGACACTGAAATGGAAAACTAGTGAATCTTTCAAAAGCTGTCTTAACTCATAAGTCCAGTATGTCATGTTGCAAGAGGCTGTATTTACCCACATCTCAGGAAAGTATATTTTCTTCGTGGCGTCCTCCACACGCCCACATACACACACAGAAACATACACACGCGCGTGCGCGCCCACACTGAACACTGTTCTCTGTGCCGATTGGGCATCAATGGCTGGCCGCTACAATAGCAAAAGATACTGACCAAAATCTAAACAAAGTGTTAAAAAAAAGAGGACAATTTCTTTAAAAACAAACGAAATAACGCTAAACTCTCATGTAATATGATTCCTCCTGTATGACAAGGAACGCAAAACAATTTCCTCGGTGATAGAGAGGTGACGTCAAGAAAGAAAGACGCTGATAATGTCATAATCTGAACATGTAAGTAAGGAGGCAGATGACATTTCTGCAACATGTAATGAGAAAGGAGGGCTTGGAAAATCTGATACTCACAGGGCGGATAGAAGAAAAGAGAGACAAGGGAAAGCAACGCGAGACATACCTGGCGGGCTTAAGCAAGTGGAAGACAGAACAGGGTCTGGGAGAGGTAGCAAAAGGAGAAAATTTATTAAAACTACAAACAATAGGAGGAAGTGGAGGGCCATGATCGCTTACGTCCTGAAAGGACACGGCACATAAAAGAAGAAGGAAGGAAAAAATTTTAAGAAAATGAAAAGAAAATGGATATTTGGAATACAAATTAGAATGAGTCTGAAATTTCTGGGATGCATAATGAGGAAATTAAACTTAATTTCACACTCAGGTGACATATTGATGTCAGGAAGGGAAAATGAAAATATCGAATAATCTGTTTAACGAACGGATATAAGTGGATAGCAGAAAAAGGGCTGGGAGAGATAATAAAGAGACAAATATATTAAGTGTTAGGAAGTTGTAGAGAGCCATGACTGCCCACATCCTGAAGGGACAAGGCACATAAAAGACGTACATGATTACTAGGGTAAGCGTGAAAGATTCTGTTATTGAGTTCCAAATTGAGCTGAAATTATTTGTGTTAGTGCCTTACAATGGTATTTGTTACAAATTCATGACGGTCGTTTTCGAGTATAGAATCCAGAGGTTAGCAGTGAATATTTCGCAGACAGTAGGAAAGCGTAGTTCAGGTTCGCAGTGGATATCGCAGCAAAGTAGCAGAGCGTGGTTCTTCCTTTTGTCATGTTCGCCTGACAAGTTGGCTCTGGTCATTCCGGTAGGGTAAACAAAGATGGCCGCCTTTATACACGATGGATACAATGTTCTGCGGCTTCTGATTGGTTAATCTTCTATTGGTAGACTATAAAGGGAATTAAGTCATTTTGATTCGCTCACTAGTTATGTATATATATATATATATATATATATATATATATACACACAAAAAAACTGTAACAGTATTGCTCTATAAAAGTCACGCTAATTTGTGCCGTTATTTCTTCTTATGGTAGCTAACCCCGAATCAGAAATCAGGTTATTATCATAAGGATTGTATGTCTTATCTCTTGGCTTATTCCTTTCAGTTTAATGTTTGTTCCGCTAAATCGTGTCTTTCAAATCTGTATTTTGAAATTAATTTCCATTTTTTCTCTCTGCTCCCCCTTTCTCTCCTCTTTATGATATATATATATTTTTTTTATTTCTCTTATTTGCTTCCTTCTGTCTCCCTGTTTTACATTTTATTGCCTATCGATAACAGATCCACTAGGTAATGTTAGAAAGCATAGCAAAAAGCTGTAAAAAATAGGGAATCCTTACTCTACCCCGATCTGACACTCTTTCCATGTCTTGTCACTCTTTTCCGTTCTAGTTCCTCCTCTGTCGCTACATTGGACATGGAGATCGTACATTTGGAGCAAGTCCTCTGTGATTTCAGCAACAAAAAGTAATTATGTTTCTTTCTATATTGCAATGCCCTGAGTGTTTATAAAATAATTGATACTTTTATATTAAGTAGAACACTTCAAAGGCGATTCCCACACGGGATGGATCGTATTTTTGTTTTCGGAATTAATTTCTCATATATATATATATATATATATATATATATATATATATATATATATATATATATATATATATATATATATGTGGTTTTCTTATCGGGTATTTGTTAATAGTTTTTAGGGTGAAACGAAATTCGTTGAATTGTCATTTCAAATAACAACCTATTAATCTGGATCCTCGTATGTCTATTTATTTTTCTGTTTCTCATCTTAGAAGGAAAATAACTTTTATTTTATTCTGCATTTTACCTGTTTTGTTTGATTGTTTTTACCTGATATTTTGTATTTTAAATGTTTTTTTGTTTTATTAGTATATTTGACAGATTTTTCCATTTCTTCTTTTTCTTCACCTCATTCACTTGCTTTCTCCTTCCTCTTTGTTTCTTTTCTTTTTTTTTTTTTTAAAGACCATTTCCTCTTCCTCCTCTTTTTTTTTCTTTTCTTGCTTCCTCTATCCTCTTTTTTTATTTTCCTTTTCCTTCCCTCCTTCTCACCCTTCTTCGTTTAGCCTCGTTTTCAACATTTTTATTTTCATAAGTTTTCTTTTTGTCTCATTCCTGCTATTTTGATCCCTTTTCCTTCTCCTTTTTCACCTCTTCCGCTTGCTTTCTTGTTTTTTTCCTTTTTTTCTTTTCCGCCTCTTACACCTTCTTTACCTTCTCTTGCTTCCTCCTCCTTCTGTTTCTATTTTCTTTTTCCTCCTCTTCTCTTTTCTCCGCCTTCGCCTTTCTTACTCCTCTTGTTCTTCTCTTCGTCCCCCCGCTTCTTCTACAGCTTCTAGCCTCGTTTTCAACAGCTTCGCCTTCATTAACTTTTTCTTTTTTTCTCTTTCTAGTTATTTTGGTCACTTTCTACTCTCTTCCTCCTCCTCCACTTGATGTCATCGTCTTTTTTATTTTCATCGCTTTGTTTTTTCTCTCTTCTCCTTCTTTCTTTCTTTCTTTCTTTTTTCTCTGTCATTTTTTAATTTTCTTTTCCCCTCTTCTCCTAAACCGTTCTTCAACAGAATTCTTTTTCTTCTTTTATACCTACCCCCCTTTGTCACCCACTTCTTTCGCATCTACCTTCCCATCCTTCTTTTCTTTATAGTTTATCATTCATTCTTCTTCTGTCGTCTCTTTAAAGGTTTTGTTTCCCCTTTATAGTTTATTTTTTCTTTCACTCTTTTATTTATCGCCGCTGTTGTCTCCCACTTCTTCAATGATCTTATTCTTTTTTCTTAGCCTTTTACCAGACATGACAACAAGTCTTGGTTAATAGCCGGATTGCCTTTCAGACAAATTTCTTTTTTTTTTCTTCTCTGCTTGTTTCTTTTTGATTCAAAGTTTCATTTTTCTTTTCTTTCTTTTCTCATCATTTTTACCGACTACTTTTCTGGTTCTTTCTTTCATCCTTCCTTCCTTCCTTCCTTCCTTCCTTCCTTCCTTCCTTCCTTCCTTTCTTTCTTTCTTTCTATCTTTCTTTCCTTCTGTTTGTATGTCTTCCTTTCATTCTTTCTTTCGTTTGTTCGTTCGTTCGCTTTTTCTTGAATTTCATCTACACCTTCCTTTTCTCTTTCTTTTTTCTTCCTTCCTTCCTTCCTTCCTTTCTTTCCTTCCGTCTGTAATTCTTCCTTTCATTTTTCTTCGTTTGTTTTTCTTGAATTTCTTTATTTTTTCATTCTTTCTTTCCGTCCATCTGTTTTTCTTTCTTTCTTTCTTTCTTTCTTTCTTTCTTTCTTTCTTTCTTTCCTTCCTTCTGTTTGTATGTCTTCCTTTCATTCTTTCTTTCGTTTGTTCGTTCGTTCGCTTTTTCTTGAATTTCATCTACACCTTCCTTTTCTCTTTCTTTTTTTCTTTTTTCTTCCTTCCTTCCTTTTTCTTTCCTTCCGTCTGTAATTTTCCTTTCCTTTTCTTCCTTTTTTTTATTTTCTTTATTTTTTTTATCTTCTTTCATTTTTCTTCGTTTTTCTTTTCTTTCTTTTTCTTTCTTTCTTTCTTTCTTTCTTTCTTTTTCTTTTCCTTCCTTCTTTTGTATGTCTTCCTTTCTTTCTTTCTTTTGTTCTTCGTTCTTTTTCTTTGAATTTCATCTACACTTTTCTTTTCTCTTTCTTTTTCTTTTCTTTCTTTACTTTCTTTCTTTCCCTTCCTTTCTTTCCTTTCTTATATTTCCTTTCTTTTTTTTCGTTTGTTTTTTTTCTTTCTTTCTTTCTTTCTTTCTTTCTTTCTTTCTTTCTTTCTTTCTTTCTTTCTTTCTTTCTTTCTTCCTTTCTTTCTTTCTTTCTTTCTTTCTTCACTCTTATTCTGTTTACTCGATTGCACTGTGTTTTTCTCTTTGTAATCTGTTCGTTCTTTTTTAGTGTCATCGGACTCTTGCACTCTGTTTCTTACTCACTCACTCTTTATCCCTTTTTCACTCCTGTTTGATCTCTCACTCTATGTCTATTTACATCTTTCTTCCTCACTTAATTTCTATCTATCTATCTATCTATCTATCTATCTATCTATCTATCTATCTATCTGTCTGTCTTAAACTTCTCCCACAAGGATTTATCCGCATCGTTCCAATAAAATAATTTCGCGCTTAATTCTAAATTTCATTCCCCCTTCTCCCTGCCGCTAAATAACCTCACTTTATCAACTTAACTCAGCCCTGCCGATAGCAACATGGAGATAAATAATTTTTATTTCTTTTTAATTGTTTACCCGACAATTTTTCGTGTTTGTCTACTTTTTAAATTTTATTTTTCTTTCTATCTATCTATCTATCTATCTATCTATCTATCTATCTATCTTTCTTTCTTTCTATCTTTCTTTCTTTCTTTTCCTAACATGTTTCTTTCATTATACCTGTCTTTTCCAATTCACTTTTTATTCTTTCTTTTTTTCTTTTTCTTTTTTCTTTTTTCTTTCATTCTTTCTTTCTTTCTTTTTTACCCTAACATGTTTCTTTCATTATACCTCTCTTTTCCAATTCACTTTTCTTTCTTTCTTTCTTTCTTTCTTTATTTCTTTCTTTCTTTCTTTCATTCTTTCTTTCTTTCTTTCTTTCTTTCTTTCTTTCTTACACTAACATGTTTCTTTCATTATACCTCTCTTTTCCAATTCATTTTTTATTATTTCTTTTTCTTTCTTTCTTCTTTCTTTCTTTCTTTCTTTCTTTCTTACCTTAACATGTTTCTTTCATTATACCTCTCTTTTCCAATTCACTTTTCTTTCTTTCTTTCTTTCTTTCTTTCTTTCTTTCTTTCTTTCGTTCGTTCGTTCGTTTTACCCGTAACATTTTTCTTCCTCTCATTCATTTTAATTCTTTCTTTCTTACTTTCTTTCGTTCTTTCTTTCTTACCCTAACATGTTTCTTTCATTATGCCTCTCTTTTTCAATTCACTTTTTATTCTTTCTTTCTTTCATTTTACCCTAACATTTTCCTTTCATTAACCCTGTCTTTATTACAATCCAAGTTTTATTGTCTCTTTCTTACTTTCTTTCTTTCTTTATTTGATTTATTGAGTCTTTCCTTTTCTTTTAACTTTACTGCCCATTGATTCACAACATTTCTTCTTCCTTTCTTTTTTCATTTTCCTCATGTTTTCGTATGTTAATTAATTTTTTCTTTCTCTTTTTTTCCTCTTCCTTTGCTGCTTAATTTTTTTCTTTGCCTTTTTTTTTCCCTTTCCCTTCTTCCCCTGTCACCGCCTACATTTGCTGTTCATTTTAATTTAGAGTTCGAATTGACTAACACAACATCGTTTTTCTAACATGAAAACTCTTAAAGCCACAGAAAAAGATTCAGGATAACAAATTAACATCAACGTCGCCACCATCTTGGTTTGTTGTGGCTCGCGGGGCGCATGCTCACTGCTCGCCAAACGAGAATGGTGGCGTGTGCAAAAGCAACGCAAATTGTCGCCGACTTCAAAGGGCGGCTCTAGATTGAAAAATCCCAAAATTCAGGTCACGGCCAGAGGCGTTTCGAATCGACCGGTCGAGTTCCTATGCAATTTTCCGTGAAAATCTAAAGCATAGGGAGAAATGTCAAAAGACATTGCAATGCTGATTGCTGAAGAGAGCAAAAGAAAAACATAGAGGGAAAAAGAAAGAAAGAATTTGTAAAGACGAAAAGAATAAGAAAATACTAAATAAGGATAAAAAAAAAAAGAAAGAAAATGAGAAAAAGAGAAGAAAAGAAAGAAAGGGAAAGACGAGTGGAGATGTCAACATCTGTTCACTATTTACACTATTGTCCTCATCTTTGTTGCCATATTTATTACAACGTTTCGGTCCTTCAGTATCTCTATATATTTCTGAGATGAGTTATTATGTACAATATCTACATTATTCAGACTATTGTCCTCATCATTGTCGCCATATTTATTACAACATTTCAGATGCTTCAGTATCTGTCTATATTTCCGAGATGAAGTATTATGTACACTACTTACATTATTCGGACTATAGTCCTCATTTTTGTCGCCATATTTATTACAAGGTTTCGGCCTTTCAGTATCTGTCTATAATTCTGAGATGAGGTATTATGTACATTATTTACACATTCATATATATATATATATGTATATATATATATATATATATATATTAATAGTAGTAATAATCTTAAAAGTATAAGAAATTATACTCGTTCGGAAAACCTTCGGTGTCTTGATTTCTCTCTACCCCTCCCAGACTTTTGTTGTTGTTGTTTTATCTCTTTTTGAATAAATGGTCCTTCCCAACCAACCCAGCGTTGTTCGTTATTTTTTTTTTGTTTTGTTTTTTGGTCACGTGGTTATGATTTTTTTGTTTATTGACTATAAATATTCCGTTCATTCTTCACCTTGTTAGCCAGCCTTCCCTGACGATCCGCTTACGTGAAACCTTGGTAGGTGTTTTTCTGTTTCTTCGCTAGGTTTAACTATATATATATATATATATATATATATATATATATATATATATATATATATATAGTTTATGCAAAACTAGGTAATCCGTATGAGTAGACCCAAGGAGGATGATATCCGGAGAGCTCAATGTAAATTCAGAGCAAATATGTTTGAACCTTAAAGTGGTCTGTTTTTTATTCAATATATATATATATATATATATATATATATATATATATATATATATATATATATATATATATACAGGCGGGAATTATTCATCCAATGATGCTCGATTATTCCAATTTTCGAATAAAATATACCGTAAATTGTTTACATTATTCGGACTATTATCCTCATCTTTGTCGCCATATTTATTACAACGTTTCGGCCGTTGTACGCTCCGCCCTTCTTCAGGTGGTTGGAATGTGGAACTGAACCCTTTATTTCGCTCACTGATTGTTCTAATTCCACGTGCCATTTCTAATGGATGTCAGTTATCAATTATCTCGTGTTAATTCCTCTCCAAGTTCTCCACTGCCTTAACCACTGTGCCATGTGTCCACGAGGACACATGGCACAGTGGATAGAGGCATTGATTTGATCCACTGACAGGACCCAAAGCGTTTGAGTTTAATACCCGGTTAAGACAGTGGAGAACTTGGATGCGGGGAGATAACTGACTGATAATTGAGATCCATTAGATATGGCGCATAGAACTAGAACAGTCTACCCCAGTGAGCAAGGAATTTGAATTTAATGCTTATTTTAATATATGTCTGTCTTATATAGTCTCGTCGATTTCATTTGGCTTCTTTTTTCATTTGCTTCTTCCCATCACTTGTTATTAAAAGAAAATTTCATTTAAGTTGGAAAAATAATTAAAAAAATAAACAAACTGACCTTGTCGTTTCAATTTAACAAAACTTGTATGTACATATATCTTTGCGTATCTCTTTCTCGCTATTTCTGTGTGCTTGTATGTGTGAGAGAGAGAGAGAGAGAGAGAGAGAGATGAAGAGAGAGGGGAGAGAGAGAGAGCAGATCAATGCAAACGCATTTCTCCCTTTCTCTCAATTCTGTGTGTGTGTTTGTGTGTGAGAGAGAGAGAGAGACAGACAGACAGAAGGGGAGAGAGAGGGGGAGAGACAGGAGGAGAGAGAGGGAGAGAGAGGGAGAGAGAGGGGGACAGAGAGCAGATCAAATGCAAACGCATTTCTCCCTTTCTCTCATTTCTGTGACATGTGTGAGAGAGAGAGAGAGAGAGAGAGAGAGAGACAGACAGACAGACAGACAGGGAAGAGAGGGGAGAGATATAGGGAGAGAGAGAGCAGATCAAATGCAAACGCATTTCTCCCTTTCTCTCATTTCTGTGTGCGTGTGTGTGAGAGAGAGAGAGAGACAGACAGACAGAAGGGGAGAGAGAGGGGGAGAGACAGAAGGAGAGAGAGGAGGAGAGAGAGGGAGAGGGGGAGAGAGTGAGCAGATCAAATGTACACGCATTTCTCCCTTTCCCTTATTTCTGTGTGTGTGTGTGTGTGAGAGAGAGAGAGAGAGAGAGAGGGGAGAGACAGAAAGAGAGAGAAGGTAAGCAGTATCGAGTCTGCTCAGTATCTACCTTGGTAGACGCTTCGTAATATCAGGCTCTGTAAGGCTGGATGTGCGGGTGGCGTTATGGATAACGGCTCATAATTGGAAATAAGAGTGTCGAGTTCGAATTACAGTCGGTTTTAATTATATTCACTTACTTCCACCTCTTCTCCACCCCACAGCTATTAGATATTTAGAATGACTTGTATCAGTAAATCATTTTTACCTTCTAAAAATGTCTTAAAATGTAAAAATATTTTCTGGCTTTAAATAACCTGCAAAATGTTGATAAACCGTAAAAACAAATCAATCAATATTCTCCTCCCCCGGCTACTCTTGATTCTCCCATCTTTTTCTTTTTTTCATCTCCTACTCTCCGCCTCCTCTTCGACCTTCTCCTCCTACTTCTTGCCTATTCTCCGAGCCGCATTTATTTTCTACATAGCCTACTCTTTCTTTCCTTCTCTTTCTCCTTTTTCTTTTATTGCTTTTTTTCCTTTCTTTAGTCTTCTTTTTCTTTTCAGTTAATGTCTTCTCTCTCTTCACCTCTTCTTCTTCCTTCTCTTCTTCCTGCTCTTCTTCATTTTTTCTGTCTTTCTTTTCTTCTCTTCTTTTTCGTTTCAGTCTTTTTCTCTTCCTCTTTTTCTTCTTCTTTAGTCTTCGTTTTCTTTTCAATTAACGTCTTCTTTCTCTTCTTTCTCCTCTTCCCCCTTCTCATCCAGGTTTTCTTATTTTTTTCTTTTCTTCTCTTCTTGATTCGTTTGCTCTTTAGTTTTTTTTTCTCTTCCAAATGGGTCTTCTTTTCTTTTTCTTCTTTAAATCTACAAATAACGAAAAAGACGAAATTATTTTCGCAGAAATCACAACTTGATTTACATATTATTCTCTTCCTTCTGAATTCGGTGCTGCCAAAGTCTGCAATTCCCCTGCTGAACGAAAGAGAAAACTTTTGAATTTATTTCGCTTTAATTCTAGGAAAATAATTTCTTTTTCGCAAAATATCATATAAATACAAAAAATCATATTTTTAAAAAGGAAATTAAAATATTTCCAAAAATGGAATTTACATTCGTTAGAATAAAAATCAGTGGAAAATATGAGGTTTTGATTCATTTCAAACATTTATTCGTACTGTAACTCAATTTACGCTTTCAAACCGACTTCGAGTTTATCGTCCCCCGCCTCTAGCTAGCTATCTGTCTATCTAACTGTCTCTCCCACACTCTTTATTTATTCTCTCGCTTTCCCTTTTATTGCGTTGCTGTCTCTTGTTTTCACATTGGTTCTTCTCTTCCCCCTCTCTAGCTTTTTAGGTTGATTCCATCTCTCACCCTCCACCACTCTCTCACCTCTCTCTCACCTCTCTCTCTCTCTCTCTCTCTCTCTCTCTCTCTCTCTCTCTGTTTATCCTCTCATCATAATCTATATCAATTTGAACGATATGACGTTGTCTTAGCTAGAGTTGCTCCTGTTGTTTCATCTATCTTTCTATCTCCTCCTCTCCATGCTTCCCTCTCTCTCTCTCTTATTCTCTCTCTCTCTTATTCTCTCTCTCTCTCACTCTCTCACACACACACACTCACTCGTTTGTTCCACAGGTTCTTATTCTAGTCCTACCGTCTTTACGTTTTCGTCCTTTTTCTTGGTCTTTTTTATTTCTCCTAAACTCTCTCTCTCTCTCTCTCTTTATATCATTTATATATTTATATATATATATCTCTTCTCTTATGAACGACCTTTTGAACCAATATAATGCTCTTTTCAAAGTTTCCTTCTATCTCATGTTTCTGTCTGTTTCTGTCTATCTATCTATTTAAATCTGACTAGCCCTGTTTGTTTTTCTATCTATCTATCTATCTATCTATCTATCTATCTATCTATCTATTATAGTCTGTTTATATCTCAGTCTGTTTACATGTATGTATGTATCTATCTCAGTTTACTTCTATCTATCTATCTATCTATCTATCTATCTATCTATCTATCTATCTATCTCATTCTTTCTCTTTCTTTCTATCTGATCCTGTTTGTTTCTTTCTGTTTCTCTTTATTCTTGATTCTGCTTTTCTATTTACTTATCTATTTCATTCTTTTTTCTTTCTTTCTTTTTTCTTTCTTTTTTTTCTTTCTTTCTGTATATCTCATTCTGCTTCTATCTTCCTTTTTCACTCTGTTTTTCTCTCTTACTCTGTTTTTCTATCTATCTGCCAATCGCATTCTATTCCTCCCTATCTGTCTCACTCTTTTTCCTTTATGTATAAAAAAATGACCTCTCTAAATCTTCTATAATTTTTTCTACCTCTCCCTCTCATATTATTCTCTCATTTTTGGTTAATTACCAAGCTTAATCAACTTTTTTTAATCTTGTCAAGAATGGCTCAGTAAAAAATTATTTTATTTCTAAATATATAATTTGGACTATTCAATCATTCTATCTTTCTTTCTTTCTTTCTTTTTTTTTTCTTTTTTCTTTCTTTCTTTCTTTTCTTCTTTCTTTTTTTTTTTTTTCTTTCTTTTTTTTTTTCTTTCTTTCTTTTCTTTATTTTTCTTTTTTTGGTTTATGTTAATATTTTCTTTTTAAAAATTTTTTCTCTTTTTTATCTACCTTTCTTCGTTCTTTGATTTTATTTATCGCTTTTCTTTCTTCTTTTGAGTTTCGCTTTTCTATTTCATTCCTTCTTTTATTCTTTCTTTCCTTCTTTCCATGAACAAAAAAAGAATTTGTTTTTTTTTTTGCTCTTTCTCCATTTCTTTCTATCTTTTCTTCGTTTCTTTCTTTTTATTTCCTTTTTATTTTTATTCTTTTTTTTTATATATTTTTCGATCTTTCTTTCTTTTTTAAATTTTTCTTTTTTTTTTTGCTTATACTCTCCTCTTCTTTCTACCATTCTTCGTTTATTTTTCTTTGTTTTCTTTCGTCTTTTTTCTTTTTTTTTTTTCTTTTTTTTTTCTTTCTTTTTTCTTTTCCCTTTTCATTCTTTTCGTTTTTTTTTATCTTCTTTTTTTTTTTTTCCTTTTCTTTTTAAAAATTATTTTCCCTTTTAAATTTCTTTCATTCTTTTTTTTTCTATTAAAATTTTTTCTTTCTTTTTTCTCTTTCTCTCTCCCCCCCTCTCTCTCTCTTTCTTATTCCATCTTGTCTTTTACTGTTTCGTTCTTTCATCCTTTGATCGTTTTTCCAATTTTTTTTCCTTTTTCATTCATTACTTTTCTTTTCTGTCTCTTTTTTTTATTTCTCTTTACGTCTTTCTTCCAAACTTTCCTTATTAATCTACAGTTTTCCCTCTTGCGTCTCGTTCTTAGAAAACAATATCTTTATTCTCATCGTACCACCGTTGAAATGCTTCGTTGCCATTTTGATTTAACCTTTGGCGCCTTTTCTTCTTCTCTTCCGTTCTTCACCTTTTTTTTTTCTACAACCTTTTAAAAAAATCATTTTTTCTATCATATAAAATAATTCTTTCCTTCCAAAATCTAATTCTTCTCTTTTTTTTCTTTTAACATTTTATTGAATCATTTTTTCCACATTTTCAATTTTTATTTGCATATTAATTCGACACTTATTTCTATAACGACTAATTCGCATATTTTACACTGAAAATGATTTCTCGGCGGTCATATCAGTTCAACAATTTTATTATGGCTTCGAGCAAAAGATATCATTAACCTTATTATAATTTTCGTTACAAGGATTACTATATTATTATTAGTAGTAGTATTAGTATTATTAGTAGTATTAGTTGAAATAACTGCACAGTGTGGATGTGGTGGTGGCAGAGGCCTGTGTCCAAATGTCACCAAGTGCATTTCCATAACAGATTTTTCGTATTTTTTAAATTCGTTACTTTTAAAAACAATCAAATTCCTTCTAAAATCACTTTGCTTGCGTTGTTTGATGTGAACGCAAGTCTGATTATCAATTTCTCTTTAAAGTGTTTAATTCTAGATTCAAAAAAATATTTTCGAAGATAGAGATTTCCTCGTTGGTGTCCAGGACTTTGTTTCAGAAATACGATTATCGATATGAAAACGAGTCCGATCTTTTATCTTTTAAAAAAAAAGTTAATGCATTCCTTTTATTATCTATTATATCTATCTTAATATAATTTCATGTCCGCTTATGTCATTCGGTTCATATATATCGAGTTATTTAGAAAAATATATATTTCGATGTATTAACCGCCCGAAGAGATCTTGGCGGTCGAACCCACGATTGTGTTTCTATCCAGAGTCTGAAGATTGTATTACTTATAGATTTATTAATAGCTTTACAGGTTAGTGTTTTTACCATGTCATTGAGCACACATTTTTAAACAGCCCGTTTTAGTGTCTAGTTTATTATTTATATATATATATATATATATATATATATATTTTTGTGTGTGTGTGTGTGTGTGTGTGTGTGTGTGTTTGTTTGTTTTTTTTGTATATATTTGATATAGATTTTAGTATGAAGAAAAAATATACGGAAAAAAAAACAAAAAATAATATTAATTATGCTGTTTTAATGTTAATATAATGTCAACGTCGGACGTTTCGGTCTTTAAAACCCATCTTTGCAGGACATATTCATAAAACATAATTAACATTAGACTATATTTAATTCAACATGAAAAGATGATGATACATAAAAGTAAGACTAATCAAAAAATTAAACTGACATTTTTCAAGATCAGCGTTCCGTTTCAATATGATCATCATTATATTTCGTCGGCGAATTTTGTGAAAAATATATTATTCCTAAAATAGATTATTTTGAATGAAAAATTTAAATAATTTTTTTTAATCTAAAAACTTATATGTACGTTTTGTTGATCATTAATCTTGCTTCAAAAATTTGAAATATTAAAAAAATTTTGTCTAGTATTCACCGTGCGTGAGATATTATGTTTATTTCATATATATATATATATATATATACATATATAGATAGATAGATAGATATTATATTGATAATATTAGTGATAAATATACACATACATATTATGCAATCATATATCTAAAATGTATAAATATATATATTTATTTTACATACCATACATATGTATTTGTATAAAAAAAAATTCAATAAGGATAGAATCCATTTTCTTTTTTTTTCAATGCCCAGGACAGAATAAGGATATAATAAAAATAAAAATAACCACACTAATATTCCATGGTCATAATTTATTTTCCATTGGAATCGTTTTCAAACATTCAATTCATCAATAACCTACAAATTTTTATTATATATATTTTTTTTTATATATATATATATATATATATATATATATATATATATATATATATATATATATATCCGATGCGATAAGAACGAAATTTAATATATAAATTCCAACGTTCACATGGTTTAATTAATCCAAAAGAGGGCTCGATGTTTTAGTAGAGCGATAATTATTTATTTATTATAATTTTATTATATAGACAAAAAAAACATTTTATCACTACAAATATGCAACATTTTTGTTTCAATGCATTTCAATTTGCAATTCGACAGGTGAGAATCGAAAATCGCAATTTTCAACAAAGCTAAGTCAATATTTGCTTCTCGAATGAAGGAATGTATTTATATTTATCTCCAAGATTATTGGCGTCTCTGCAAGAGCGTACTTTTAATAGCAAAAATTCTATACCTCCTTTTGTTCAACCAGTTTGAGGTCCTGACCTCCTTTCTGCCGACAAGGCTGAATACTTTGCTCGAAATTTTCATTTCAATTCAACGCTCGACTCTTCCGGTGTACCCATACCCGATTTCCCTTTTAGAACTGAGGCCCTATTGAGTGGGTTACACAAACCCCGTCTTTGGTATTTGGGCATTATCTCCAATTTAGACCCCAACAAGCTAGTGGTGGAGATGGGATACCAGCCATTGTCTTGAAGAAATGCGCGCCTGAACTTGCGCCTTCCCCTTCCAAATTATACAACTACTACCTCAATAAATCTTGTTTTCCAGACTGCTGGAAGTCCTCATCGATTGTTCCTGTCATTTAAGAACTCCGGCGACCCCTCTGACTGTTTTAATTACCGTCCTATTAGTCTCCTACCTCTCTTCGGCAAAGTCTTCGAAGCTCTAATCAACGCCGAAGTGGTTAACTACCTTACATCCCATGATCTGCTTTCAGACAAGCAATATAGTTTCCGCTTTGCCCGATCTACAGCTGATGTCCTTACGGCCATCACTGAAATTGTCTACCAAGCTCTTCAGAATAACGGAGAAGCTCGTGCCGTGGCCCTAGACATCTCCAAAACGTTTGATAGGGTTTGGCATGCCGGCCTTCTTCGCAAAAATTTATGGTATGGAATTTCAGGTCGATTGTTTGACTTAATACAATCATTTCTGGCAAACTGAATTGAAAGTCGTTCTCAACGAATTCTCCTCCAGCTCCTATCCCACGGACACAGGTGTTCCCCAAGGCTCCATCCTAGGCCCTACTCTGTTCCTTATCTTCATCAACGATCTTCCTGACGCCATTGATTCCCAGGTGGGCATCTACGCGGACGACACTACAATTTACTCCTGCCTCAAAAACAAGTCTAGTTTCGTTGACAAAACTAACCTGGCCGTTCGTCTCGAAAAGGACCTCCAATCGGTTGTGAACTGGGGCAGGAATTGGCTGGTTAACTTTAACGCCACAAAAAAAAAAACTGCTCTCTATTAATCACCACAGAGATCCATCCTGCCCCCCCCATTAGAATGTCTGACGCTCAACTTCCTGAGAGCACCTCTCTGCGGCTGCTCGGTCTCACGTTGACTGCTGACCTGAGATGGAACAAATACATTGAGTCAATAGCTTCGTCCACCGCAAGGAAAGTTGGCTCCCTGTTCCGCGCCAGGAAATTTTTCTCCCGGAATCGATCCTTCAAATCTACAAATCAACCATTCGCCCTTGCATGGAATATTGCTGCCATATATGGTCTGGAACCCCTTCTGTTTGTCTCAAAGGTTCTTGATAAAATCCAGAGACGGATATGCAATGTAATTGGCCCTGATCTGGCATCTCGTCTGCAGTCGCTCTCTCACAGACGTGCCGTCGCCTCCCTCTGTCTTTTTTTTTTTACAAATACTTTCATGGTAACTGCTCCGATGAGCTGCTTTCGCTGGTTCCCAGACTTCATGAATTTAAAGGTCCTACGAGTCTGGCATCCCGCTCTCACTCTTTCACTGGTTGAAACTATTAAATGTAGTCGCCTCTTCTATTCCAATAGCTTCATATCTCGCACCACTCGCCTGTAGAACTCCCTTCCCTACTCCTGTTTCCCTGAGAGCTATAATCTTCAACTATTTAAATGTAATGTCAATCGACATCTCCAGTTGCCTTGATCTGTCCATTATCTTTCTCCTCATCCTTTCCTCTATCATTCCTATCTGCTCTCGCTCCAAATCCTCTGTAACCCCTTGCGTGCTAGTGGCTTCCCGCCTTGCTAGGGGTGATATGTTTAAAAAAAAATTCGATTCTCACCCGTCGAAATGCAGTTGAAATGCACTGAAACAAAGTTGCATCCAAAAAAGATGCAGGATATTCCAATGTCGTTTGGAGGCTGTGGTTAAAGTCAATGGCGATTTTATTGACTAAATTTAATCTTTTGTATTTAAAAATATATCATGTGTAATTTTAATATATATGTCTGTTAAAATGATATGTCAGTGTTATTTTCTTTTTTGCGTCATTTAGACGACAATTTATTCATCACATCCTGCATATACGGGGAGATTGAAAATTAACTCCTTATTTTATGTATGAATGACCAGCCAGGAGGAGTCCTCACTTAACAACCCGAAACTTTTTAATTCGTTTGTTAAAAGTGTAAGTTTAATATACAAATCCAAGACTTTGGAAGAAC